TAAACTTCACATCACACAGATTCATTAAAAAAACATTCATTATATTAATAATATAAGTGTTATTTACATCATTCTACAAAATCGGGCTACAGGAAGTAAATGACCTAATACTATCCCGACTCATTTATTCGGGGTAAAGGTTCTGTCTCTGTGTCGGCCCTCCGTCTGACACGCCGCCGCCTGTAATGTGTAATGGTGGTAAACGGGTCTCGGGGCGGTGGGGGAGTCAGCTGGCTAGACGATGGACCCTCTTGGGTAGGGGTCGGCGCAGAACTGTGGAAGACGTAGTCCTCTGCGTCTCTGGGTGACGTAAGATCACCTCCACAGCTACTCTGGCCGAGCTCGAACTGTGAATGGACCGAGCGCCCATCATGGTCGTCCCGCTGGGTGACGAGATAGCCGTGACCATATCTCTGTAAGGTAGTCACGCCCATATCGCGTACCCGCTGGACCTGGGGTCTGGTGGGTCCGTCTACGAGGCTGATTGACAGTGCATCAACCATCGCAGCCATATCCGCAGCCTGCAGTAATCATCGATCAGTAAGTTGTATGATATAGAAATTAAAAATTGATAAAAATAAGTAGAATAAAAGAAACTCACATATCCGTAAATGACGTCATATGCTGGGTGGTAATGTGTCGAGGGTGGTGTGTAACTGGGGTTGATGAAACGCCGTGTAATACGCCTGTACCACACCATGTATGGATCGGTGGGATCCACAACGCCCTCCCATCGGGTCACCTCCAACGACAAACTCAAGGCGTTGCGTCCACAGCTCAACGTAACGCCAATGCTCCAGTAACCAGCTGGTCTCCCCCTTTCCCCGACGGTCAACGCCGTGAAGGCGTACGCTCGTGTCACACTGCTGGGGGATAGGCTGGCGTAGTCCAAACTGCCTCAGGACTCGGTCGGGTAGGTGACTCTCCACGACCTCAAAACAGATCAGGGGGACCCTGGCGCGCCACTCCGCCTGATGGTCCAGCAGATGTGCAGGCATGGAATCTACCAAGTCAGGTACATACGGATCCCATGTCATCTGCAATAACACAACAACAATAATATCAAGAAAAGGTTAGTCTCAGACAGTATTCACATTACAAAAATGATTACAAGTATCTTTAAATTATTACCTGGTCCTCGGTCAGGCGGTCTAGGGCGTCGCGGTAGTATGGAAGCCCCCTCGCGGTATGCGCATGTGTCAGTCTGCGGACCACCCACCTAATACCGGAAAATGATTCAGGTTATCAACTAATACAATAAATGAATGAAGTCTACAGTAATGAAAACGGTATCGAACCTGCAACCGTACGCCTCATCAGGTGTAGGGAGCGGTGGAGCATCGTACGCCTGGTACTGGTCGTCCCGGTCCTGCTGTCCCGGCCGATGGTACGCAGGCCTACCTGGTCTGCCTACATGTATATGCTCCCAAGCCCAAAACTAGCACACAACAATACAAAACTCGGGTTAGTTTAAACTATGTAAAAGGCTTTCGAAATAAGTTACTGGTAATTAATTAGGTGAGTTACCTGAAGCACTATCAACGGACCCCCGATCTCGCCAGAACCAAGGTGGGATTCTCTGCACAGCTGGCGATACAACGTCGCCAAGCAGGCACTACCCCAGCTGTAGCCACGGATATGATCCCAATCGTGGTCTAACAGCTGCAGGTGGCTCCCGCTCTTGTTCCCAAATAGCACGCCCGAGACGAGGAAAAACAAGTACGCCCGAGCGTATCTCTGAACCGTGGCGTCATCCGCGCCCTGAGGTAGCTGACTGAAAGTGTCGCGTAACCAGGCGGTCCTCAACCCGGACCCCCTAATATCGCCGGGTTCTGGCCGAACCCCGAGAACCCGATCGACCAAACCAGCTGGATCGACTAAAGCGTGTCCTGTTACCGCAGACCCATGTACAGGAAGGCGTGTCAATACGGCGACGTCACGCAACGTAACGGTCGCCTCCCCAACAAAGAGGTGGAAGGAGTGCGTCTCCTGTCTCCACCTCTCCGCGAGCGCAGTGACAAGCGCTCGGTCGATCTCCCTGGTCGCCATCCGATGTATGCCACCGAAGCCTGCAAACTCGATGTACTGAAGAACGAGCGGATCGATAACCCATCCCACCATAAACCTGGTGGTGTAGTGCCTACAAACTAGCTGTTGCGCTGGATCAACCTGATTAAAAATCGTCGTACCAAAATTAATAACACAAATTATAATAACAGTACATGCATGAGTTCATAAAAGGAAAGATGATTCAATACCGTCTGGTCCCAGATAGAAACGCTCCGATGTGTGTGCTGTAGTGTCAACACAGAAGGGTCCACAGGTCCGGGCCTACGATCATCTCCGTCCATGATATATGTACATTGAAAACGTTATAAACCAAACAAAAACTAAATACAAGATTGGGATCTATGTAGGTCTAGATGGACACGTTGTTCGGTTGTGACCCTGCTGGTGACAACGACCGCATTTGGTCGGGGGCCGGTTAGTCTCATCCATTTCATTGCGTAGACGCTTTGACCTTGGCCGCCCTTTTCCACGCACCATGCTGCCGTCGGGAATGAGTTTAGGGCCGACGTATTGCGTCCAGGTTGTCTCGCAGGGAATAGGCCAGAATTGTGGTGCGTATGTGTTTGTGTAGGCCTCCGATTGCAGCACCGGGTCCACCCACGGCCGCTCTGATAGTGAATACGCCGCACAGACTGCCAGAACATGAGAACATGGGAGGTGGAATATCTTTGGTTTGCTGCATGTGCACGTTCTCAATTGAAAGTTAACAGTATGCTTATGGCCTCCTTTACTACCGAATCGCTCTCCCCTTTCTGTTGTGACTTGGTAAATATGCAGCCGGCGGTTATACGCATCCACTCTATGGTACCTGGCTTTTGCGGTGTTCTTCTCCAGGATTGCAGTGACCTTTGGGGGATATGGAAGTCCTTGTTCAGACCTTGCCTCAGAAGACTCCCTTCTCAAAGTGAAATACCTGTTAACTCTGTGGAAAGTTAACTCGAAAAGGGACATGATCGGTAGAAACCGAGCTCCCTTCAACACATTGTTGAATGTCTCAGAGAAGTTTGTAGTGCAAATCCCATATATACGACCCCCGTCGTGAAGGAGAGACCACATAGTGAACGGAACTTGAACAATGTACTCCATTGAATTGGTACACGCCTCACCGATAAAACACAGATCGGCATGAAGTTTTCTTTCCTGCCTTTGGTACGCCGCATTCGACTGAAAGTTCCCATCCCAAATTCAGTTGATGGAATGTCGTGTGAGGGCACTTGGAAGGGTTCTGTGTTGTAACTTGAAGTATATGTAGATTGTTGTTCTGCCCGAGTACTTTGTTGGGTACATATAGGCACCATTTCTACATATATCTCAGTGGGAACACCCTTCATTGCAACAACGCTCCTTAGAGCTTTCACATGCTTATTCGTAGAAACCGGTAACACTTGAACCCCATTGCCGGTCTCAAACCTCATTTTAATGTGTACTTCAACATTCCTCGGGTCTGAACCAATACTACTATGAACCTCGTTCATCAAATCATTCATAGTCATATTCGGTTCAAGTGTTAGTGGTTCCATATTTCCCCCACTATACTCGACACGGGGTCCATCAAACAAAATTTCACCTCCCCACCGGCATAACAAAACTACATTTTGTGCAGCCATATTCTACATAACCAAAACACATTTTAGGGTTATTGAAATCTAGAGCGAGGTAAAACAGGTTGCCCACAAACTAAGCACTAACTCCATTTATAAACTCTTAGTTTAGGTTGAAATGCAAAACGATTACTAACAAACTAAACTTGCAAACATTACACTAATATAAATTGATAGATATATTATCAATAATGAACTAAGACTCTTCTCACCAATAACAACTTCACCATCAACAACTTCACCACTTTCAAAAATTTCAACAATTTCAACAATTGCATGAACAATTTCAACAATTTCATGAACACTTTCAACAATTTTATGAACAATTTTAACCTAAACTATTTCAATAATTTCAACAATTTCATCTCTTCTCACCAATTTCAACCATTAACAATTTCAACATTTTCACCATCAACAACTTCACCAATGTCATGAACAATTTCATCAACAATGTACCACATCACCATCAATAATTATCAACAATGTACCACATTTTCATTAATAATTAGCAACAATTTCATAAAATTGACATGAATTCACCACAACTTAGAGCAATTACACAAGATTGAGTTTAGGGTTTTACCAAGAAATTGAGTGGAAGAGTGTGAGAGAAAGCAAGGCAGCAGCAAGGTGGCGGCGGCAGCAAGGTGGCGGCGGCAGCAAGGTGGCGGTGGGGGCGGCGACAGCACCGGTGATGGGGACAGCCTTGGTGGTTTAGTGTGAGAGGGAGGAGGGAATGGAGTGCGTTTTTGTTGTTGTTGGTGTGTTCTGTTTCTTCTGCTGCTGCGAATGTATATACGCGCATGAAACGCTGTCTCGGACAGCGTTTCTCTTCACGCATGAAACGCTGTCCCGGACAGCGTTTCATTAAACGGTATAAGACGCTGCCTGGGTCAGCGTCTTATGTGCTACCTTGTTTTTTTTTCCTCCTTTTACCTATAATAAACTACGAATTTAAAAAAAAATTAAACACAAGGTAAAACGCTGTCTGGGACAGCGTTTTACCAACTGAATTTTTTTTAAAAAAATATTCCAGAATAAAACGCTGACCGAGACAGCGTTTTACCCTAGAAGCTTAGTTTGGTAAATACTTTTGCCACGCGTCTACTTTGGTAAATATTTACCAAACTAAGCTTAGTTTGGAAAAACGTCCCAAATCTGACGTGGTTAACAGAAAATCAAAATCTAGTAAACCAGAATATACGCGTCAAAAATTAGCAATTTGGAATTGGAACCCACAAATATAAAATACTTGGGCACTATTGCCCAACCAATGAAAGGCAAGGAATAGATCTAGAAACCTCCTCTAAACCACTAATTTAGATACGCTCTCTCTCCTCCGCCAAATTTCCCTTACACGTGTCAATCAATCACTTTCTCTCTCTATTACTCAAATACAATCACATAAACTTCCAGTATTTCTCTTTCTTTCTCTCTCCTGTTTTCTGCCTGACGTTTGTCGGAACAACTTGTGCTTAATTATTATTCATTTTAGGTTTCTGCAATTTGCGACATTTTTTTCTGGTTCTCAATTTTTCTGCTTCCTTTTTAGTTGAAATTGTTGATCTGAGGTTGAATTTGGAGTAATGGTGGATTTGTTTTGAGGTGATTGTGAAGAGGATGGGTTAAGCTTTCATATTCTGAAGATGTTTGATTGGGACGACCAAGAGGTATTTATTTTTTAAATTTTAAATTTTACGAATTAATTTAAGTTGTATTTTCTTTTTTATTATTAATTTTGAATTGTTTGTTGTGAAATTAAATGTGAAATTTAGTCGAGAATTTTGCGGAATTTCTGTGGATTTTGGTTAAATTTTGTTGAGCTGAGCGTATTCTTGCTAATTTTCATTTTTTTAAAAATAAAATCATTATATTTGTGGATTTATTTGTGAACTTTACACGAAAAAAGTGCCAGAAATTTTTGTGGATTTTTTAAAACAATTTTTGAGGCAGATTTTGTTTAAAATTGATTGACAATATTATATTTGCTTAGTTTACGGTTTACTATGATTTTTTCTTTTATAAATTTCATGTAATTTGCGGAGTCATACATGAATTTTATACGAAATTTGGCGAAATTTCTGTGGAATTTGATTAATTTTGTTGACGGAGTATATCTGTTAATATTTGTATAATTATACGAGTACTAGTAAATTTTGACTCCGTAATGTATTAAATTTAGTAACTCTGAATATTTACTTAAATTTATTTATTAAAATTTTTTCTAGCATAATATTCATAGAGTAATGAGAATATTTTTGGTACGAGTATCAAATTACATGTTACATTTACTTTTTAATTTTTTGAGGTGATGTTGAGTAAAATTGAAGGAATTGCTGGATATTGCAATTGACTGAAGTACGGAATAGTATTTTCTGGATTGCTATGATATAAATTCTATTTTATGTGTTAATTTATTATTTGTGGAATTTGTGGATTATAAAATTAGTTTATCATTATCAGAAAATTCTCATTTCTCATAGATTCACATGCTTATGACATGTAAGTAGGTAATCCAATACCAATATGCCCTGTTTTGACATTCCATGATTTTTGGCTGTGACCGTTGTGCATTAGATTCTGGCTAAGGAAAGTGTGGCAACTAGATTTGCTGTTGTAAAAAATCTGACTATGAACATACGAACTAGCTAAAACACCATACAGTGAAAAGAACATTGGCATATTTTCGGCGAACCTATAATGTCATATATGTATTGCAGTATGTGAGAAGATCTATACGTAGATTGGGCCGTGCCTCAGGCAGGCCCGGCCTGGGGTTGGCTTGGCCTGGCCCAAAAGCTACGGGCCACTTTATGCCACAATCTTCAAATAGTCAACCCTGGCACGGCCTGCCCATTGTGTTTGTTCTTGCTGCACATTTGCTTTTCTAAAAGATTGTGGTTGAGTAATGAGGCATGACACTCATACACTGCCTGACATGCACACTTATGTGCTGCATTGGCTAGGCTTGACTTGCACAGTTATGTGGTGGGTGTGCTTGTCTGTGACGTGCTATTATTATCTGTGCTTGGCTTTTTTGTGGTGCGCTTTGTGTAGACATAAGCCATCTTTATATGTATGCAACTTTATCCTTACTATTAAAAACCATTGTTACCTATTACTATATCATTGAATTGGCCAAATATTCTCTGATGCAAAAAGATACAATCTTTCATCAGTAGCTGGTGTTCATCTCTTATTATCTCTTCCTCGAACTTTTTCAACCTTCTCCTCTATCCAGCATGAGGAACAGCTAAGAACTTTTATTGCCTTGGGCACTTAGATCTTCATATTCTGCCTATAGGTCTTTCCTGAAAAAGCAAACTCTTTGTCATTCTAAGATCAACTTCATTATGGATGATGGATTTGTTCTCAGAAGATTTTGATCCTCAAATTGGGAGTCACTGAAGTTCGAACTTGCTAAATATGATAAGTGGTAATTTTGTTGTTGTTGTTGTTGTCTTGAACTAAATGTTCTTAATTAAGCAGCAGTAAATTCAGTTGCTGCAAGTCCAGTCATAGGATGTTGACTGAGATGCACTTCAACTTTGGCCCAACTAGCATTCCAATCGGGCTTTTAGTTTGGGGCAACTGCATATTTGGCTATGGTTATTTCTAGACTTTTAAAATAAGTGTCTGTATACCGGGGGGGGGGGGGGGGGAAGAACTTTATGGAAGCTTCCTAGCAATTGGACCACCTTCACATGGAAGGCTAGCAACGACTTCATCCTCCGTTTCTGAAAAATCTGAAGAGGATTCAGGGCTAATCTACGACGGTTATGATTCTCCCTCCAGCCAAAAATAAAAAAAAATTGTTATTCTGATTCCTTTTGATCCAGAATATAGGTCCTACAATACTATTGTAATATGGAATGTTATTTGTCAAACTCAAATTAGTAATATTGGCTATATTACCTTACCAATTCCATACTGGATGTCACTTCACAATATCATCACAACTCTAATATTAATCAGCTTTTTATCACACTTGAAAAATGATCAAGGACTTCGGGAGTATGAAACAGGCCATAGAATTGGATCAACATGTATTTATACTACCTCCATTTCAATTTATTTGCAAAGATGTGACATTCACCAACATCTAAGTAAAATTTATTTTGAGTGGTTAATGGTGGGAGAAAATAAAGTTGCATGTGATGAGGAGAGAGATTGAAAGAAATGACAAGTAAAAAGGAAAGAAAACATTTGTTGCAAATAGGAATGGCAACGGATCGGATTCGGGTCGGATTTAGTAAACGGACCCTGAATCCGAGTCCGAAAAATCCGAGTCTGAGTCCGATCCGACTCGTAATTTTAGGATCCGAATCCGGTCAGTTTATTCGGACCTCCGAATGATCCGAATACTTTTTTTTTTTAATGTGTGATATACCTATAATTGCTTGGATTGTCATACCGAGTAAAGTCTAAACATAAAATATCTAAATTATGAATTAAGTTACATAACAAAAATTTGCTACAAACAAGTAAACAATTGTCCCAAGTTATAAAGCATATCCTCATACTCTCGAACTCAGACACTCGGGTCGGACTCGGTCGGACTTTGCGCAAGGTCAAAGTCCGATCCGCCTTCGGATCTATTTTATCGAATTCGGATTCGGACTATTTTTAAGCGGATGCGGATCGGATTTTTTTCTTCGGATTCGATTTGAACTCAGATGGAATTGCCATCCCTAGTTGCAAATTATTTGTAGTATCCATTGATAGTAAATGTTGCAAATAAATTGAAATAGATGTAGTATAATATATTTGTTTTTATTAATTTGCAATAATTTCGTGGCTTAGGAGCTTAGCCAACTAAATAGTTTCTTAATTATGCTACATGTAGAAGTCAGATTATTTGTTGAAATTGAAGAAGAAATGCTTCTCTTCACATAAAACTATCAACTTATATTTCATAAGCATTATAGTTGGTTTGATCTTTTTGCTTGCATTTGGTAATTCTGCAAGTCTGCAACTATTGTTTCACTTGGAATATTGTGGCTTACCTTTGAAATTGAGTGGGACATGTTTTCGTTATATCTTGCTTAAGTTTATCCGGAAAAAAAACCCAAATAGAATAGTTATTACAAATTTGCGCATTTAAGCTCATTTTAAGCCTTTCTATTTACCTTACTGAGATATACATTGATTGGTTTTTGTGTATTTTCATCATACTTGCCAACCAATCTTCCACCTATCCTTTTAAAGCAGTATGAAAAAATTTATATATGATCTAAGTGAAGTGTATATGAAAATTCCACTTTGAAATGATGGGACTTCTTGTGGAATAGAGTTTTTGTAGCTTGCCCATACTTCATGTCATGCAGTAGGCTTGTGTCTAGTAAAGTAATGAATGGCCACAAGCCACGAGCCTGTGCAATAAAACCCTCTCCCCCTCCTCTCGCTTGAGTTGAGTAGCTCTTTAGTCTGCAAATCCCTAGTCCCCTCCAATGTTGTACACCCTGAATTACTCCCTGATGAAATTTTCACTGTACTTTTTAAAGAAAATTACACTGTATATCCCTGGCTATGGCTTGTAGTGTGTGGCATAAGTTGATTAAGAGTCAGAATCCATCGTGTATAATATCTGACAAGTCTAGATGGTCTTTTAAATCTAATAAACGGAGGTAAAATATAATAAAATCAAATAATGTAATCTATCCATCCCCTAATGCTTCTCAAAAACTCATGTTCTCTTTGACTCAGGGAAAGCATTCTTTGCAGCTGTAGGTTGTCTTACAACCCCCTGTTTAGTTAATAGGGCTATCATATTATACATGTTCCTCATGCATATTGGTAATGCCTCTATTGTGGTTTAGGTCTATTTAACCGAACTCTTGGACAGTTAGTGATGCGATAAAAATGCTACCTATCGGTTCATATCAACATAAAGCATAGGTTTCAAGGATGCTCATGTATCAGTTAGACTCTGCGACGTAGTCTTAGCTATGTTTCTTGCCATCTTTTAAAATTTGTTTAGAACATGGGTTTATTTTGTTATAGAAATCTGTCGTTTAGGTCTTCATGTTGCTACTTTCACATGTTCTTTAAGTTATTACTCATTCAATATAAGCTCTTGAAGGTATGTTCTCTCTCTCTCTTTCCCCCCTTGCCAGCTGTGGGCTTGTGAGGCTTAAGCAGGGTTGGGAAGCAGCCATGCTAATTCTCCTGTCCTTTCTGTAATAATCTCTCTTTTTAACGTCATGCCCTGTCACAGTTTATGTTATTGTTCTTTGCAGTTTCCATCACAAATTCACAAGTTAGATGGGTGGACTGGGTGCTTTGTTTAGGGCCTTGTCTTATAGTTCTTTCTAACAATTCTTGTGAAAAATATCCTTTAGGCTATTTCTTTAATTTTGTATTCTATATGGATCGATGGCTACTGTACTGTCCTTTGCACTTCCATTATCTATAGATTTGTTTTCTTGGCATTGTGGGCCTTTTTGGATTTGTTTTCTGATTTGATACTCAGCATGTTCCTTAGGTAGAGAAATTTTTTACTCTAATGTTTTCTTCCATATTTAAGGACTTTATTTTCTTGCTTGATACAAGGATGACTACTCATCCAGTGAAGCTCTTGAGTATCTGGCATGTGCCTTAGTGTCTTCTCACTATCTGTTCTTTTAGTTTGTCATCATAAAAAGAGTGTGGTAGTGACAAGATCTTTAAGCATAACCTTTGGCCAAAATGGGTGTTGTGGTATGTACTATGTATGATGGAGTGCTCAATATTCATTATCTCGGTTATCGTTATTCATTACTTGTTCTTAACGAATGAGTTTATGTATGAAACTTTAGTTACCTTACAATTTGCTCTATACACACACACACACACACACACACACACACACACACACTAGTATAAACTAGTGTAAACTAAATTTATCTCTCCATCACTTAAAAAAAAAAAAAAAAATCTCTCCATTACCACAAAACCACTTTACATGACATAAAGCTAATGGTGGAGTTAAACTTTCAAAGGACAATGACTGCACCAAATACCATGTTAGTAGAGTACTCATGATCTCATAGAGTCACTTGTTTTCATTAATCTCATGATGCTACCTATTTGTTGGGAATCCAAAGTCATGACATTTTTTCTGGAGGGCTTGTGAGGATGATATTAGCAATATATTGTTTTTTCGCATTTGGTAGAATTGTTCTATGAACTTTGGGTGGAACCAATGTTTATATGTAAGGAATGAGAGGTTAGCATGATGATTACGACTTGCAATCAATGAAACTTTATGAAACTTACAATGTACTTTCTGATTTCTGAGAAGTTCATTTCCAGAGGTGTCAATGATTCACAATTCTTTGTCTTCGGATCTTTTTGAACTTGGCTCATTAATCTGATTGTGCAAGGGTGAGTTGGAACTCTTGGAAGTAACCTCATTGTTATGGGTTGAGATTGCTAATCTGACTCTCATTACTTAAGTTGTCGCCTAGCAATAGTAATCTCATAAAATTAAATAGTGTTGATGCATGTGATGCTGATGCTGTACATTAAGGAATTTCTTAAAAAGTTACAACATGTCTATGAGTCTATTCAAAGAAAACGCCATATTAGGATTATTCAAAATACCAGGCACAAACTTTTTTTTGGCCATTATTTTGTGTAGGAAGGAATAGAAAGTCTTCCTCATCATGACATGATTAAGCTTTCTCTTTTCAGTTATGGATTGAAATTGCTGCTGTAAGCTATCGTTTTCTTTTCTCCAATTAATGCCGTAGGACTAATTGATTGCTCTAATGTATTTTCAGCTTGCAAATATTATATGGGGTGAAGGTAGGGAAGCTGATGATCACATTGTGCCTTATCCAGAAGATATTGAGAAAAAAGTTTTGTCAGATTCTGGTGATAATGACCAAAAAACATTGACTGAGAAGAATTCTAAAAGTGAGGCTGTTGAAAAAAACGCATCTACCTCTAAGTTGTTTATAGACGGATGTAAAAGAGATAAGAATGATGGTTTGTCTGCTTCAGGAGAAGTTGTGGATTCTCAACTCGATTTGCCTTCATTCAGTGCTTCAAAATCTGATGACAGTGGTATAGGTATTAATGTATTATAGTATTTCATCAGTAGTACTGTGATGGTGGTTGGAAATGATAGGTCCATTAGGGCTATCATCTCTTCAACCCTTTGGCAATTTTTTTTATGTATGTAATAACACAATGAGGTTGCTGGTTTGACAAGATTTACTATGTAATTTTGTATCTGAAAATTCTATTGTCATATGAAGTAAGAAACTTGAGTATTTAGGCACTTGTAAAAAAAAAAAAAAAAAATCCATGAGCCAATGCCAGGTGTCTTCTTGTGATAAAAAATTTCCTGACACTTGGTACTTTCTTAATGTACCTCTGCTAATTCTTTATTCATAATATCTTAGCTTATTATTATTATTATTATTATTATTATTAATTTTATTTTATTTTATCCCTTTGCCATCCCTTAAAACAGAAATTGTGCTGATCTTAGTTTTCACAAATATAATCTAATACACTATCTCTGATTATAGAAAAATAATGTTTTCCTTGTAGTTGGAGCTAAGAAAATTCAGCTAGGTGGTGTTTCTCAAAGTTCCCAAATTCATCATGAGGATAAAGAGCTTGGTGATCTTGTAGGCAACAGTTGGGCAAGCATTGGAAGTTTTGATGATCTTGATAGGATATTCAGGTAATAAAAAATGTCCTTGCTCCTGCTGGATTTTGGTTGTACGTATGTATGCATGGCTATGATGGTCTAGATTGTCCTTGTTCTATGGGAAAACTCAATGTAAATTACTTACCCAGTTTACAAGTCTAGTCTTTGTATGTGTGTTGTGTGCATGTCTCTGTGCTGTTCTATATATGAAAGAAACACTAAACTAATTTAGAGAGAATTTGTGATATAGACATTCCTCTACAAATGAGCAAAACAATTATGAAAAATCTGTTCAACAATGGTTAACATTCACATTGAAATGAGGTGTCTGATCTTCCTGAAGATAATTGGTAAAGATCCAATAATTTTAAGATTATATTTTGTTGTCCAATATTCTCTTTGTTTGAACTCACTCATTCACTATTTGAATACTATTTTTTTCATATCTAGTAAAGACAACATGGATCCCGTGGTCATAGTATTAAGGGCTTTTACATCATAAACCACCCCAAAGTAGTACCACTATTCCCAAAACCAATTCTAAGTGAAAAACATTACTCCATTGTCCCCAAATTAAAGTCCCATTTGCCTTTTGCACACATTTTTAGGAAAGTGAATAAAATAATAAGATATATTAGGGTTTGGTTATTAAAGGTGAATAAAAAAAATAAAAAATACAAGATAGTGGGGTTTGATTGATTAAAAGTGAATAGAAAAAGAAGTTAATGGGTTTTGGTTGATTAAAGGTGAAAAAATAACCTAGATAGAGGTGAAATGTGAAGTGAGACTTTTATTTAAGGACAAGTTTTTTAAGTGAAATGGAATTTTCAATTGGGGATAGAGGGGTTCTAACATAATCCCATAGTTCCTAATTATACTCTCATAGCCACCCATTATCCCTAATCACCCAAATTGACTCTTAAAACTATAAGTAGAACTAATTAACCCCCATTATCCCTTAATCGTAACCAATTGAACCCCATGCTCCACCATGCCTTAATTTAATCCCTACCATTAACAAGCACCACATAGCCCCCACTCACCTCAAAACCACATTATTGTTTCCTTCACCTACTTGCCAACTATACCATCGACTTCACCCCCCTTCACTACCCTTTTATTCACCCTTTGCAAATTTCCAGCACGCTGCCTCACTCAAACTGCTCGCAACACCACCTCATAATTGCCCAATTCCAACATCTCAAATTCGGTTACCAACACCACCGTACAATTATCCAACTAAAATTTCAAGTTACATGTGACCTCTGCTATATATGGTTCTTAGATTGGTGGATAAATAGAGAGTCATCCTCAAGTAACATAATTGATGCCATGGATAAGGCTAAGGGGTTCATTATTCAATAGCCTAGCTTTGGAAATAAAGAGTGTTGTCAGAAATCATTGTAAAGTGGGACTATGAAGTGTAGCAGCTTCACCAACCTTTGCATGCAGCGAAACTCTACTCTTAAGGTCTTAATTCTTAAGCTTAGGCTTAGGCATACATATAGGAAATAGTAGCTGTTAAGCTGGCCGGTGGGAGTTAGAAAAGGATAGATTTTAACATTGGGCTTAGATAGATTGGGAATGTTTGGTACAGAGCATCAGATACCTAATAATTTGCTGTAGCACGCCCTAAATTAGGGCTTCTTGTCTTTATTTGTTTATATAGTCATTTGTACTTATTTGGTTTTATCTTCCATATGTGCATGACATTTTGTTCTTGACTTACGCCTATGCATTCATTCTGTTGCACAACAAAATTTGAAGCCCTTTCTGATTAAATCTTTATGGTGGAGAAAACAAAATTCTGTAATTTTGTGATAAATATCCATCTAACAAAGTATTCTCACAAGTGATGATATTGCAGCAACGATGACCTAGATGGAAGCACAAGTCTTGGAAGCACAGATGAACTATGGTCATCACCTAAGGATCTCTTAAGTGGGGCAGCTAAATCCTCATCTGCAGCTCTACGCTCGACACATTGGGAATTCGGAGCATTAGGAAGCGCCGCTACTAACATTGAAATAAATCCAGAATATTTGCACAATGAAGATTCCTCTGTAACAACTGGCTGCCGAAAGGCCGGCAGCATCTCACCTTGCCCTCGACGTACCATCGATAGACATCTGGAACATAAAGATTATGCTGTGGATACTACTGGCTTGGTTGAGGAAAAGGTACAACCCGTTATTAGTGTCAAACTGATTGTAATTATTCTTCACATTCCACAGGGTTTATTATAGAATGCTGTAATTGGTCACTATACTATACAGATAGGTTTGGGCATCACTCTAAAGACACCAATTGACTCTCATACTGCCGCTGAAAATATTGCTTCTCCAAACAATCCCACAGTAAAGGTAAAACATTTTCTTATTGAAGAATTCATATACGGAGTATGTTTTTCTTTATTGTATGCTTTCTTGCTGAATTTGTGCCAAATGTGTGTAAAGAAATGACAATGGATTTTGGCCATTCACCCTAGTTAGATTGTTACATCATTGAGGTTGAGATGGTAAACACTGTAAAAGCTGCATAAAGTGAAATACTATGAATCTATGATCGGTCTGAATGCCTGATATATATTGGTCCTGCACACGAACCAATTAACATCAACTAGATCAGTTGTTGTCTAATACGAAGAATGTCTGTAACTCTTATTCTTTCAAAACCATATCTCAGCTGCATGAGATGAAATACTATAATAGATTTAGAAAAACACTTACCCTGCAAAGAAATCATTTAATTCCAATGGGATTTGTCATTTTCTTAACAGTCTAAATCTGTCAATAATATTCAAAAGTCAAAACCAGATCTCAGGTGAAGGATTTCCCCTAAATCAGACATTTCATATAGAGTTGGTTAGAGCAGATAGGTGGTAGAGAAAGGGTGATTGTTATATTGACGCACATTTCACATTTCCAATCAAACTGCCATACATGTGCAGTGGTTGGTGATGCTTTCGGATGTTTGTAGGGACTGGTATAGAGGGTGATATGTCAAGCCAAATTATTTTCATTTGTATGACTCCCAATATCATTGTTGAAAATCTGAATGTCATAAAGAGTCCAGGGAGCTTAGAGAATGGTTGAGACTTTTTATTCTATTGGTGGTTAAAGAGACAGTTAAAATCCACAGACTTTTCTTTACACCCTGAAGCTTAGTTCTAGTATTATGATAATTTTTGTGCTTGGTATCATTGTTTTATTTTTAAGGTTAAAGAAATGACTATGCTTTTTTGCCCCCACTCATATCTTTTTAGACTATTTCATTTGAAATTTGAGGATGGTTTACAAAATTCAAATTGTTCTTTTTGTTGGAGGAGCTTCACTTTGTGAAAATTTATGTAAGTCATCAGTAGCTTGTTCTTTGTCTAGTATTGTGAAATTGAATTAGTAATTTATACCTGTTGAGGCTGTCTTGCCTTTCCAATAACATCTTTGTTTTCCTTGTTGGCAGACTAATGTCTTTATTGTCCGGGACAGTTAATGAGGGAACTAAATGAGGTAACCCTGAACTTATGGTGTTTTTCCAAAATAACCCTGATTTATTGGGAGTTTCCAAAACGACTCAAGTGCCAAAGTCTGTTCCACAGTAATCTTCCTTGTAATGGAACTATAGTTTTGTTAATGGAGTATGGTTTGACGTTGATATGATTTGTCATAAAGGCTCACTATTAATGATTCTTAATCTTTTCAATGAATGAAATCATAATTCTCTTACAATTAAGATTCGTTGGGAGAGATTTTGGCACTTTAGCATTATTTTAGAAAAACACCCAGGGTTGGAACCATTATGAGTTACCTTGAATAATTTCCTTGTAACAACCAACAACAAAGCCTTAGTCCCAAAATTATTTGGGGTCGTCTAACATGAATCGTCATAAGGAACCGTCTGACAAAGAGAAAAGGACATAACAAGATGACCATTTGAAATAGTTTGATAAGTGTGTAAAGTAAGAAAAAGAAAGTGCATCTAAGTAAAATTTAAGAGAGTTTTATAAGAGTACCAAGAATAAAATTGAAGAAGTTTTAAAGGAGTGGTAAAAACGTGTGAGTAAAAAACATAATGGTTTGAGAAAACTTAAGCAAAGGAAATCAACAAAGTTTGTATAACACGAATTGAGTAAAATAATACAAGAAAATACTAAGATAACATAAACAAAAGTATATATGGATCATGACACGTCGTTGAAGTGAATTTTCTCATGATTCCTTAATCCCCAAAGCACTCATGTCACTCTCTACACCCTCTTCCATGTTTTCTCAGGTTTTCCCTTCCCCTACCCCTCGTGATCCCAACCCTTTGCAACTGTTTGAGTCTCCTTACTGGAGCCTCACTTGGACTCCTTATATGACCAAACCACCTTAAGCGATTCTCCCTCATCTTGTACGTAATCGGTGTAACCCCTTCTTTCTTCCTAACTATCTTATTGCTCAACCGATCTATTCTTGTATGGCCACATATCCATCGCAACAGACGCATCTCTGCCACATTCATCTTATGCACGTGGCAATGCTTTACAACCAACATATTGTACCATATAACAAAGTAGGCCTTATTGCCGTTCGGTAGAATATACCCATCTAAGAGGCATGTAGGGATCACATAAAAACCCTATCGCAATTTTCCAACCAATCTGCTTTGATCCTATGAGCTACATCTACATCTAATTTTCCATCCTTTTGAATTATAGATTCCAGAGGAAGACCTCAGAAACCTGGACAATCTTCCCATCCACCTTGAATAATTTCCTTACAATTAAAAATATTCTTTTATTGGAAGGAAAAAAAACATAAGAATATTATTTTAATCAAGCAAGAAATTACTTAGAGCATTTTTATGGGTTAGATTAGGAAAGGAAAATTATTAAGACTAACAACTTAACAATAGGTCTGGTATGATGAGCCAAATGGATGGTATAATCTACCATTTTGTTAGTCATACCCTATAGGTAATAGAATTGATTATATTGTAAAAGTGCGACAATTTGAGATAGAATCATATCTATATTCCAATACATAGAAGCTAATGACGCACAAGCTGTATTTCCTTTGATGATGAGACTCTGTATATTTATATTTAAATCTCTGGATTTTGAATCCCTAAGAGAAGACCCTAAAGCTTTTACTTGGTGAATAGAGATAGAACTACATTGTTTGGCATCTAAATTCTTACATGGCCTCTGATTATAAAACTAAAAGCAGAGATAAGTCTCATTGATAACTTTACTTTCTGTTGTAAACTGTGTTCCTTGAAATTTGTTGCAAGATGTATCCTCCTAATGCTATCTTCAATATGTCATCATGATTACAATGTATGAATTTCTTAACTGCAATAGGTAAGAATTATGTCCTCTCCACTGATGTTTCTTTGTCTTTCCTACAGGAAAAATGGTCTGAAACTCAGTCAAAATATGAGCTGGCAACTGATAGATTAACTGATTCCAGACTACTGCAGGATGTATATGACAATTGGCCATCATCTGCAACAAATGCTCCACAGTTCAGTCGCCAATGTGCTCCAAGTACAGTAGAAAATCATTCGGTCTCAGTCCCTGTTCAACATCAGTTGTCCCAGGAATTTAGGCCTTTTTCATACCAAAATTTCTCAACCCCATATGGTGCTCCTTATGCTTGTGGGAATTTCACCAGTAATCCAGCCTTGCGCATGCTGAAACATACAGAAGATGAAAATCAGTCTATTTTGTCAAGTTCTGAAGTAAGTCCTGGAGATGTAATTAACAAACCTGTTGGGAGTCTTGGGACTTCAACAAAACACACGAAAATGACACCCCAAGAGAAGATTGAAAAACTGAGGCGGCGTCAGCAAATGCGAGCAATGCTTGCTATACAGAAACAACAGCAGCGGTTAGGTCACCAAGCTTCAAGTGGGGATTACTCCCGATCTCGTAAGAGCTGCCTAGAGGATCCTGTCCGTCATATGGAAAACTCTGACCTTGAAGTCGATGATATCTTAAGCATTGTACCTTGCTATGATCCTGGTTCCCCAAACAAAGGGGATGATTCTAGTATGATTTCCAACATCGACGACTATTCAGCAGAGGACACAGTTCTCTACCAACTTCAAGATATTGTATCAAGAGTACGTCCATGTTATTCTCCCCTTGATTCATGAAATTTGGTAGTTTTTTGAGTCATCCCAAATATGCTGGAAATTACACTGGACTCAATTATATGTTTTGCGCGAGTTAGAAATGCCTATTTCCCCTATTTTTGTATTTATATTATAGTATTCTGATAAAATGATGCAAATTAATTGCATTTGTTTTCTGCATAATGTGAAGTAAATCTGAAGGAAGCTCCTTCTTATTATGCAGTTGGATATGAAGATAAGGCTGTGTATAAGAGATAGCTTATATCGATTGGCTCATAGTGCAACACGAAGACTCTATGTTAGTTATACTAGCAGTAAAAAGAGCAGCACTTTTGAGCCTGATATTGCAAAGGAAGAGACAAGCAATCATGACAGGTTAGGAAGTTAAACCTATATGATTTTATATTTTTCTAATTGTTATATGGTTCATATTTATCAAAGCTATGGGCTATAGCTTCATATTATTGAATTGTGCTAGAACTGGATAAAAAAAACAGCGAGATTTATAACTATTTTTTAAAAAATGAAAATGAAAAGAATGATTTGCAACTCAAAGATGTCTGATTTGAACCTAGGTCAAACTACTTTCTCAGGCTAAAAGTTTAATAATGAAATTAGAGGCAAAGGTTGGAATCTAGAGGGTTTAAGCTAAGTCGGAGTAAGACTGAATATTTGGTATGCCGTTTGGTACACGGAGGGGGACAAGTGATGATGTAGTGAGTTTGGAAGGAAAGGATTTGACTATGAGTGAGTGTTTTAAATATCTTGGGTCGATCATCTAGAAAAATGGTGTCATTGATCAAGACGTGGCCCACAGGATTAAGTCGGGGTGGCTTAAATGAAGAGCGGCCACGAGAGTATTATGTGAACGAAGCATTCCTTTACAGTTGAAGGGGAAATTCTCTAAGACTGCCATAAGACCAATGTTGCTCTATGGTGTTTAATGTTGAGCTTTTAAGAAGTAGCATATTCGAAAGATGGGAGGTTATGGAAATACGCATGTTAAGATAGATGTGCGGGAACACTATAAAAGATAGAATTAGAAATGAAGTTATTCGCAAGAATATGGGTGTCGCAGGCATTGCAGATAAACTAAGGGAAAATCACTTGCGTTGGTTTGGGTATATAAGACGGAGAGCCAAGGTCTCCGGTACGAAGAGTGGAAGAGTGAGATCATGGAGAGGTTAAATGAGGTAGAAAGAGATCGAAATAGACTTGGTTGGAAGGAGTTAGGAAGGATATGAAGCATATGGATATGTAGCATTTGATCGTAAGGGATGGAGGAGGAAGATTTTTGTGGATGACTATACGGAATAATCACTTTTGGTTCATTTAGCCAACCCCACTTATGGGATTAAGGCTTTGATTGATTGAAAAGTTTAATAATGAATCAGGTAAATTACGTTATTTCCATTGATCAAATCACAGAAAGCTATGCTGATAATGTTGACACACAATAACAAATATGTTTAGGATGCTCAAAGGTGTATACAAATATGTCAAGGATAAATTTTATTAAATATTCATGTAATAGTCTATTCATATTGACAATGAAGGTAATCCTTTTGGATATCTTGTTTTCTAGGTAAGTGGGGAACTTATACTAAAATATCATACTACCTCCGTTTCATTTTATTTGCAACGATGTGATATTTACCAACATATAGGTAAAATTTGTTTTTGAGTGGTAAATGGGGAGAAAATAAATTAATTGCATGTGATGAGGAGAGAAATATAAAGAATTGATAAACAAAAAAGTAAAGAGAACATTTGTTGCAATATTTTGTAGTATCCATTTATGGTAAATATTGCAAATAAATTGAAACAGAGGCAGTACATTTTTTGTAAATTCCATATCTTGTTGTCTAAGATTGCATGAACCTCCAACTGTCACATTGTGGATGCAATAGGTTTTAATTACCATGGTCGAATAATATTTTTGCACTTTTAAACCTCCTTAAATAGTTATACTCCCTCCGTGTTTTAATAAGTGTTACACTTTGACCAAACACGAATGTTGTGATACGATTTTGACCATTAAATTATCTAATTATATGCTAGTAAAATTATAGGAAAATTGATATTATGAAAGTATACATTATAACGAATCCAACAAGTGTATGATACCATAACATTTGTTTTTTTTTTATATATTAGTAAATTAATAAAGTCTAAACCATTATGTGAACAGTGAAAAAAGTCAAAGTGTAACACTTATTAAAACACGGAGAGTGTATTAGTTTGTTGTCTCTAATATACTATACTATTTAGACCGACCAATGGTGATATTAAGACATCATTATAGAATAAGAAGTTTGTTCCATAATTGGAATTGTTTTTGCTTTCTCGGTATTTAGGGCTTGTTTAATTCACCTTATTTTTGCTTATCTGATCTGATGCGGTCTGATTTGATCTTATCTGGTGTGATGTGATCTGATTGTCTGATTTGACCAAATTTTGACCTTATGTGTACGATGTAATTTTCACAATTTTTTCATTACGAAATTAAAGATATTTAGCGATAAAAATTGCACATAAGACGATAAAGTGTGTCTGAACTTATTTTTTTTATCTGATCTGAACTTATATTTTATGAAATAAGTAAAAATAAGGTGAACTAAACATGGCCTTAGTTATTTAACGGACAGGTTCTTTTCAAAAGGATTGTGATTATTTGGAAAAAGTTATGATCTAGGGTAGATTTTGGTAAAAATTCTAATTACTGGTACGATTTTGGAATCTTAAGAGGTATTTAGGCATTTTTTTCTTGCATTCTGATGTATTCTTGTAGTACATTGAGTGGACCACTTTACTATAATATGTATCACCTTTGACATCTGATATCTAATTTCATGCCCAGATAGAATAGCTTTTGAGTACCGTTCTGTGTTTATCTTAATACGTTGCTTTTTATATGAGCAACAAGTGTGCAATTTACTCCGTGAGCTATGTAAGATATACTGGACCTTTACAGTTAGTCCCTGGCTAGATTTATTATTGTTTGTTTAAATTTTTGCCCCTATCTATCCAAAAGAACTTTTCTAAGGAAAGGAAATGCATAACCATGGTAATTGACTGATAGACATTGGCCTGGTGTATGGATGTGGTTCAATCTTTTTACTATCAGAATTCTTTTAGCGTTTAAGCCAAAGACTGTTTTATTCAGATTTTATTGACATTATATATTAGAACTACTGCTTTTTTGTTTAATATAAAGAGAGATGCTTCACTGTGATTTATTTTTTTATTTTTTATTATGAATTAAATTTTAACCTCATCCATATTTCTGTACGTTTAATTTCAGATTTGTTGGAAATGCAAATGTGGAGACTGAGACCAACCATATTGACCGAGCTGTGGCTCATTTGCTCTTTCATCGGCCTCTCAAGCTGTCAAGCAGGTATGCTGAGACACCAGAGTCATCCACATCAACAAAAGTCTCAACTGAACCAGAACCACCTGCTCCAAGCAGCAAGCCAATTGGTTTGTTGCCCAAGAACTCCGAAAATGAATATATTCTCTATCCACGTGGATCAAAAAGTCTTCATGATTTTGTGGATTCCAATGAGGGAGATGTATCAAATGACGTTTCCCTAAATGAGATGAGCATAAATCCACCAATAGAACAAACAACAGCAGAGCATGCAGACTGAACTTTGTTGGCTATTGTTGAGATTTTAATCAGGATGATAAGGGTAATTCCTTCCTTTATCTCTTAATGGTTAATAAATTTGCATGTGTAAGTTGATCTACCGGATTACTTGTAATTGGGTGGTTTTCTTTGTTTGTCAGCCAACTTGGTCATTGCAAGGCGCATGTCATGGAGGTTATAAATTCCTTGCTGCTGACAGAGCCATCTGTCTAAGTAACTTAAGCCAGTATATCTACCTAGTCATCTCTATCTTTCAAAACATCATTATTGCCGATGATTGCTTGTGGGCATTGCTATGTTTCAAATGAAGCTACCTGACTTCATGGTAGTAAGTCCACGCTCAGTCTTGGTAATGATATGTATGATTTATATAGATTGTTGATACCTAATAAATTAGTTAAACTGCCCAGGTGGATTTTTCAGTATGATCTTTATCACCATTTAGGTTTATCATGGTACTCAGTATGAGTGCTGTGAGGTACAGCCTTTCATGAGTTCCATCACAGAAGACTGACAGGTATGCAAGTACTTGCAAATGTCAGTTCTTATATCATGCAAGATTGTTGTACCTACTTCTTATCCCACCATAAAACTGAAGTTTCGTAATAAGTGTGCTGGTTGGAAAAAATTTCTTCTATGCTACTTTAGACCTGTAATACCAAACAGTAACTAATGTCACCTTTGGCATTTCAATCAAACGGAAGCCTCCTTCCTCCCCTCCTCCCCAAAAAAGAGGTGCTGTTACGTAGCCCTTGAGAACTGCTAACATGTTTCCTAGTATACCCTTTTTCTTATTCTCTTCACCCATACCTTTCATAAAAATTGACTGGCAGCAATTGTAAGGGAATTATGTTGGCTGGCGAATTCAGATTAAAATATATATTATCAAAAATTTTGTTAAGATGTCTCTTGAATTTTGCTCAAATCCAAAAGGCAAGTTTAACCATAAACCATTGTGCGAAGGATGGATTGTTGGGCATAGTTGATTACTTGATTTAGGTGTCCTTAAGCTTTCAGTGAGGTGTCTTTGTTTTAAACTTGAGGTTTTCTCTTCTGCATATGGTGTCTGCTGGTCAAAGTTTGTGCTTCATTTTAAAGCCTAATCTGTGACAATTATTCTCAACCTTGGAGTATAATGGCAATCGACTTGGAGTTTTGTAGATGTTAGAGATAGACAGGTTGGGGGACTGTCATGAGGACCTTTAGGGGTGTGTTTTATGTTTACTGTTTAGGGTGGAGACTTACTTGGAAAAATCATGTCCGAACACTGTCCCTGGGAAAGACCAACAGATAGATTATACATTTATACTGATCGAAATAATAATTTATTGAGTTTATAAGTTTGGATTGTTTTGTTTCCCTTTGTTTTCCTTTATAGGGTTACTTCATAATTCTTTGTGGTCTTTCCCTAAAATCCATGGTATATATATATATATATATATATATATATATATATATATATATATATATATATATATATATATATATATATATATATATATATATATAATTTTTTTTTTCTTTTTTTTTTTATATTATTTTTTATTTATATATATGATCATCGATTTTCTAGTTTAGCTGGGCAGATCTGGGTCTTACTCTTTCAATAAGGTTAATATGATGTCTTCTGCATTATACTTTTTACCAAGTTAGATGTATTTTTGGATCTCAAGGTTCTGGATTTGATCTTGTAAATGCTCTTGTGGTTTATTTTGTTTGAGTCTGATGTTATTGTTATGGTGCTTTATCCATTTGATATGTAGCTTTGTGTAGTTATTCATGTACTCTTCTTGCTAGCAAAAACTATAATAAGGTGCACCAAGAAAAGTGAAAAAAGTAAATAAGTTATCAACAGGAATATTTGTTTAATTTGGATTGATGACGTTTCACTTGGCAGCATGTCTTTATTTGGTGCACCCAATAGCCTATCTTCTCGTCGTCATTCATTGTTCTAGTGTTGTGCTTGCTTATCAGTTTTAGTGATTGGTTGATTTAAAATGAGGGCCGAAATCAAAGGGGACCAAAATAGTCTTGTATTGGATTTAGTGAATATGTAAATGAAAATATGAAAATCATGTTTGACAAATTTGTTGGTTTGACAAATGTTAGATTCTAATTGACAAAATTTTAGCGTTTGGTAAAAATGAAAATGTTTTTACTCTAAAAAATACCTCTGCCTCTCGCCAAAAAAAATAAAAAAAAAGAAAAGAAAAACTCTGCCTTAAAATGTTACTTTCTTGAGAATTTTCAAAATATTGTTTTTACCTCTAAAAGCTACTATGTACTTCTTGTCCCTTTATTTTTAGCTCATTGCTATTTTTGAGGTCAAAATTTGAAAACTTTGATCATAAATTACCATTAATCTATAAAAGATAATTTAGTCATGAGTGGTTTTGTTAGATTCGTCTCATTATTTATTTTATTAATATCACTTTTTATAATTTTTACGTATATGAAAATAAAGATATAGATATTTTAATACGCGTTTTAAAGATCGTGTACAGTTAAATAGGGCAAAAAAAATAGTGACAAAGGGAGTACTATAGAACTGCTATTGCCTTCTTTTTAGTTAGAACTAAATTCAAGACTCGTGCGATACACAGTCTTTTTTTTTATTTTTATTATTATTATTTTATTTTATTTTATTTCGTGTAATTTCTTAATTCGAGTATTTAACAATTTTTTTTGTTATTCTAATTTTTTTTTTACATGAATTTATGGTAAATTTTTTCTTAAGTATTTAAACTATTTGATTAATTTTACTCTCATTCATAGGTAGAACTTGGATTTATTAAAGTGAAAAAATTATAAAAATATTATCTCATTTATTGGATATTTCGACAAAATCTAATATCATATCATATCACTAATAAATAAAGTCGGTTTCGCAGCCAAGTCACGAGACAATGACACTTGGCATTCCAGTTTTTCGCCAAGTGTCGCGTCACGTAGGCGATAAATAGTCATTATTGTAATACGTATGATGCTAAGTAAAAGATTTTTTAATTGATTTATTAAGATAAAATTGTTGTATAAGTTTTTATTATAAATAGAATTCTAATATTTCATATATACAAAATTAATCATAACATTTTATAGGTATCCTATAACCCAATTCTATTTCAATCATTGACTATTTTAAGAGTTACTTCGTAAGTGCTATAGGGGTTACTTGGTCAGTGTTATAGTGGTATTCAATCAGTGTTATAAATTGGGGTTACTTAGTAAGTGTTACAGGTTACTCACTTAGAATTACAGGGGTTACTGTTATCCAATTCTATTTCGTTTTAAAAAGTTCTTTAAAATAAGATACATTTATAATATACTTAATCACAATCTTTTATATGTAGCTGGTTAAACCGTGTCACCAACTATTTTAAGAGTTACTTAATTAGTGCTATAGGGGTTACTTAGTCAGTGTTATAGTGGTTACTTAATCAGTGTTATAGATTGGGGTTACTTAGTCAATATTAGAGGTTACTCAGTTAGTATTACAGGGGTTACTCAGTCAGTTTTATAAGGGTTACTTTGTCTGGCAAAGTGGAATGGCTAGCCGCATACAAAATGCATTGTTATTTAATTTACTTCCTCCGTTTTTTTTTTATTGCGCTATGAGGGATTTCACGCTTGGCAATGCATTACTTTAACTATTAATATCGTCAATTATACTTTTGTAAAAATTATAAAAAAAATTGATATTTGAAAAGTAGATTTCAAGATGAATCTAACTAGATCCCACTTGACTATATTTTTCCTAATGGATAATTTACAAATGATAGTAAAAAAAGGTTAAGTGAATAGTTTAAAAGTCCATATGGTGCGTTAAAAGAAAAACAAAGAAAGTATTTAAAAATATAATAGAGAATCAGTAAAAATAAGTTTTAATTTGTAAAAATAATTTTAGGTTGGTAAAAATACTTTGAGTTTAGTGGAATAATTTAAGTTCAATATAAATAATTATAAGTTAATAATAACATAGATATCTATTTACAAACAAAACTACAAAAAGCACACTATTATATAAATATAAGTCATATGATAGTATGTCTAAAGATCCTACATTATCATAACTGATTATATGACCGTATTGAACATTTAAGTAAAAATGTTATCTTAAAATTTTATCAACCATCTGAATTGCTTGGGCACAAAACTAGTCACTAATAAATAAAGTCGGTCCCGCATCCAGGCCACAAGATAGCGACATTTGGCATTCCAGTTTTTCACCATGTGCCGCGCCACGTAGGAGATAAATATATATTATCGTGACACATATTATGTTAAATAAGCGGTTTTTGATAGATTTTTTAAGATAAGATTGTTGTATAAAGTTATATTATCAATAGAATTCTTATATTTCATATATACAAAATTAATCATAACTTTTGATAAATATCCTATAACTCATAAGTTATTTCCATCATCAAATTCGTTTTAAAAAGTTTTTTAAGATAAGATCCATTTATAATATATTTAATCACAAACTTTTATACGTAGCTAGTCAAACCGTGTCACCAATTATTACAAGATTTAATTCGTTAGTGCTATAGGTGTTACTTGGTCAGTGTTATAGTAGTTACTCAATCAGTGTTTTAGATAAAGGTTACTTAGTCATTGTTAGAGGTTACTCATCTAGTATCACAGGGGTTACTCAATTTGTTTTATAGGGATTACTTTGGGCTAGATGTTGTGGTTAGCTGCATACAAAATGCATCGTTATTTAATTTACTTAAAAATAATATTAGAGAATCAGTAAAAATAAGTTTTAATCCGTAAAAATAATTTTAGTTTGGTAAAAATGCTTTCAGTTTAGTGTAATTTAAGTTCAATAAAAATAATTTCAAGTCAATCATAACATATATATCTATTTACAAACAAAACTATAAAAAGTATAGTATTATATAAATATAAGCCATATGATATCGTATGTCTAAATATCCTACATTATCAGAACGAATTATTTGACCGATTTAATATTCAATTAAAAATATTATCTTAAAATTTTATTAACCATTTGGGCATCGTCTGAGCACAAAACTAGTATATAAATAAATGAGACATTTTTCGGAAGCATTCGGCGCACCACATAAGCAAAATTATTATTTTGACCAATAAGAAATTAGATTTATATTTTATTTTAGAATTACAAAATTCATTCGCCACCTAAAAAAAAATAATAAATGAGATTTGAGAATTTAACCACGTAGGCGAAAAAAATAAAAAAAATAAAACGAACAGTAATTTATAATTTAAATTGTTATAAAAACAAAAATTACTTTTTTATTAGGATTTAAATTATTTAAAAACTAATTAAAAATTTCTTTTGATATTAATGATTTTATCTAAATATCCGATAAATGTGATTATATTCTCACAATTTATTTCAATTTTATAAATTTAGTTCAACATAAATAACTAAGGAATAGAAAAAAAATTTACCTTAATTTTATGTTAAAATAATTAGAATAACTACAACACAAAAAAAAATGTAGATATTTAGAGATTATAAGAAATATACAAAATATATATATATATATATATATATATATATATATATATATATATATATATATATATATATAAACTGTGTATAGCACGGGCTTAAATCTAGTCGTTAATATCAAAAAATATTTTGTTTTAAAATTTTAATTAGTTTTTTAAATAATTTAAGTCCTAATATAAAAGATTTTTTAAAAGTTTGTAATTAGTTTTATAAATAATTTAAATCCTAATATAAACGATATTTTTTTTTTGAAGAAAGATAATTTTTAGTTTTTCAAAAATAATTTAAATCATAATTACTATTTGTTGTTCAATGAGTATTATATACTCTTGGAGTACTATGGATCATGGTACTTCATACCGAATATGCTTGAGTTATTTTGTCTAAACCTTATGTTATTTTGTTTAAATCTTGTGTTATTTTGCAAAAACAATAAGTTATTTAGTTATCTACTTCAACGTCAGCTCGTGCTATTTAATATAAAATTTGTGTTATGTATATATGTGTGTGTCTGTGTGTGTGTCTGCGCGCGCGCGCGCATTTATGTGTATTCTCACTCCTTTGAGAGAATTAAATATTATATGAAAATTATTGTCAAGAGTATGAAATATTCAAATTAACACAAGAGCTTTATACAGTGAAATGATCGATTTTGAATATAAAAAACAGCATGCATGTATAAAATAACATGTCCTTATTTAAAAATAACATATATATAAATTGAATTAATAAGAAGTTCATATCAAAATAACATGAATCTTATAAACCTGGAGTACCTTGTGCATGACAGCATGCATGTATTAAATAACATGCATTTATACAAAAATAACATATATATAAATTTA